AATGAATTGCCTGATAAAAAGGATTACCTTGATAGGGTAAATTATGTAAATACATTTACATTCATTATTTTTTTTGTTTTATAAAAATTTGAATCAAATTATACTTATTATATTTAATAGAATTAAACTATTTCTAAAAGTATCAAAAACTTTTGTGCATCATACACTAAAATATATTATATTTGTATATATCTCTGTATAAATATAAAACTTTTATAAATTTAAAAAGATAAGCTAATTAAGCTACTGGGTTCATACCCCATTTATAAAGGTTTTAACCCTTTTCTTTTTAATTTTTAATAATTCTGCTAAAATTATATTTTTTTTTATTTTAATAATAGGAACAATAATTACAATCTCTTCTAATTCCTGATTAGGAGCTTGAATAGGTTTAGAAATTAATTTATTATCTTTTATCCCCCTAATAAGTGATAATAATTTAATATCTACAGAAGCCTCATTAAAGTATTTCTTAACTCAAGCATTAGCATCTGCTGTTTTATTGTTTGCTATTATTATAATATATTTAAATAACTTTCCTATTACAGAAAATAATTCTATTTTTAATAATTTAATTATTTCATCATCACTTTTATTAAAAAGAGGTGCTGCACCTTTTCATTTTTGATTTCCTAATGTTATAGAAGGATTATCATGAATAAATGCTTTAATTCTAATAACTTGACAAAAAATTGCCCCTTTAATGTTAATTTCTTATATTTCTCAAAATAATTTTATTATTTTAATTATTATTACTTCAACAGTTACTGGATCCTTAGGTGGATTAAATCAAACATCTTTACGTAAACTTATAGCTTTTTCTTCTATTAATCATTTAGGCTGAATATTAACAGCTATACAAGCTAGTGAATCAATATGATTTACATATTTTTGTTTCTATTCTTTTTTATCATTTAGATTAATTTTTATTTTTAATAACTTTAAAATATTTCATATTAATCAATTATTTAATTCTTTTTTTCATTCAAAAACATTAAAATTTATTTTATTTTTAAATCTTTTATCTTTAGGTGGATTACCCCCATTTATTGGATTTTTACCTAAATGATTAGTTATCCAATTACTAGTAACTAATAGACAATATTTTTTAATAAGAATTATAACTGTAATAACTCTTATTACATTATTTTTCTATCTACGTTTATGTTTTGCTGCTTTTATACTAAATTACTTTGAAAACAATTGAACTATTAATGTTCAAATTAATAATTTTTCATTTAAATGCATATTATTTCTATCATTTATTTCAACTTTTAGATTAATTTTAATTTCTTTAATTTATGCTTACTTATAAAAAGCTAAGGCTTTAAGTTAATAAAACTAATAGCCTTCAAAGCTATAAATATAAGTTTAATCTTTTAAGCCTTAGTAATTTATTTACTCCTTTAGAATTGCAGTCTAATATCATTATTGACTATAAAGCTATTGAATTAAAATAATTGATTAAAAAGAAATAATTCTTATAAATAGATTTACAGTCTATTGCCTAAACTTCAGCCATTTAATCGCAACAATGGCTATTTTCAACTAATCATAAAGATATTGGAACTTTATATTTTATTTTTGGAGCATGAGCTGGAATAGTAGGAACATCCTTAAGAATTTTAATTCGAGCTGAATTAGGACATCCAGGAGCATTAATTGGAGATGATCAAATTTATAATGTAATTGTTACTGCCCATGCTTTTGTAATAATTTTTTTCATAGTTATACCTATTATAATTGGAGGATTTGGTAATTGATTAGTACCTTTAATACTTGGAGCACCAGATATAGCATTTCCTCGAATAAATAATATAAGTTTTTGATTATTACCTCCTTCCCTTACATTATTATTAGTAAGTAGTATAGTAGAAAATGGAGCTGGAACAGGTTGAACAGTTTACCCTCCTCTTTCTTCTGTGATTGCTCATGGAGGTGCTTCTGTTGACTTAGCAATTTTTTCTCTTCATTTAGCTGGAATTTCTTCTATTTTAGGGGCTGTAAATTTTATCACAACAGTAATTAATATACGATCTACCGGAATTTCATTCGACCGAATACCTTTATTTGTTTGAGCAGTAGTTCTTACTGCACTACTTCTATTATTATCTTTACCAGTTTTAGCAGGAGCTATTACTATATTATTAACAGATCGAAATTTAAATACTTCATTCTTTGACCCAGCTGGAGGAGGAGACCCTATTTTATACCAACATTTATTTTGATTTTTTGGACATCCTGAAGTTTACATTTTAATTTTACCAGGATTTGGAATAATTTCACATATTATTAGACAAGAATCAGGAAAAAAGGAAACTTTCGGTTCATTAGGAATAATTTATGCTATACTAGCTATTGGATTATTAGGATTTATTGTTTGAGCACACCATATATTTACAGTTGGTATAGACGTTGACACACGAGCTTACTTTACATCAGCAACTATAATTATTGCGGTACCAACAGGAATTAAAATTTTTAGTTGACTTGCTACACTTCATGGTACACAATTAAATTATTCCCCAGCTATACTATGAGCTCTTGGATTTGTATTTTTATTTACAGTTGGAGGTTTAACGGGAGTTGTTCTTGCTAATTCTTCTGTTGATATTATTCTTCACGATACTTATTATGTTGTTGCTCATTTTCACTATGTTTTATCAATAGGAGCAGTATTTGCTATCATAGCAGGATTTGTTCATTGATATCCTTTATTTACTGGATTAAATTTAAATCCTAAATGATTAAAAAGTCAATTTATTATTATATTTATCGGAGTAAATTTAACATTCTTTCCTCAACATTTTTTAGGATTAGCCGGAATACCTCGGCGATATTCAGACTATCCAGATGCTTACACAACTTGAAACGTAATTTCAACAATTGGCTCTTCAATTTCTTTACTAGGAATTTTATTTTTTTTGTTTATTATTTGAGAAAGCCTTGTTTCTCAACGTCAAGTAATTTATCCAATACATTTAAATTCTTCAATTGAATGACTTCAAAATACTCCACCAGCTGAACATAGTTATTCTGAATTACCACTTTTAACTAATTAATTTATTCTAATATGGCAGATTAGTGCAATGGATTTAAGCTCCATATATAAAGTATTTTACTTTTATTAGAAATTAATGACAACATGAGCTAGTCTAGGCCTTCAAGATAGAGCATCACCTCTTATAGAACAATTAACGTTTTTTCACGATCACGCACTTATAATTCTAGTAATAATTACAACTTTAGTTGGATATTTAATATTTATATTATTTTTTAATTCTTACACAAATCGAAATTTATTACATGGACAAACTATTGAAATAATTTGAACTATTTTACCAGCTATTGTTTTATTATTTATTGCTTTTCCTTCTCTTCGGTTATTATATTTATTAGATGAAATTAATGAACCTTCTATCACTTTAAAAGCTATTGGTCATCAATGATACTGAAGCTACGAATATTCAGATTTTATAAACGTAGAATTTGATTCTTATATAATCCCAACAAATGAATTATCAAATGATGGTTTCCGTTTATTAGATGTAGATAATCGAATTATTTTACCTATAAATTCACAAATTCGTATTTTAGTGACAGCCGCAGATGTAATTCATTCTTGAACTATCCCAGCTCTAGGAGTAAAAGTTGATGGAACTCCTGGGCGTCTAAATCAAACTAATTTTTTAATAAATCGACCTGGCTTATTTTATGGTCAATGTTCAGAAATTTGTGGAGCTAACCATAGTTTTATACCAATTGTAATTGAAAGAATTCCTACAAATTATTTTATTAAATGAATCACTAGCAGAGTTAATTAATTTTTAATCATTAGATGACTGAAAGCAAGTACTGGTCTCTTAAACCATTTTATAGTAAATTAGCACTTACTTCTAATGAAAAAAAAAATTAGTTAAAATATAACATTAGTATGTCAAACTAAAATTATTAAATTATTTAATATTTTTTAATTCCACAAATAGCACCAATTGGCTGATTAAGTTTATTTATTATTTTCTCTTTAACATTTATTTTATTTAGAATAATAAATTATTACTCCACAATTCCTCAATCCCCTAAATCTCAAATTTTAAAAAAATCACAGACTAATTCTATAAATTGAAAATGATAACAAATTTATTTTCTGTATTTGACCCTTCTTCAAGTATTTTTAATTTATCATTAAATTGAATAAGTACATTTCTTGGACTTTTATTAATTCCTTCTGCTTACTGACTGATACCTTCCCGATGACACATTTTTTGAAATTCAATTTTAATAACTCTTCATAAAGAATTTAAAACTTTATTAGGACCTAGTGGACATTCAGGATCTACCTTTATTTTTGTTTCATTATTTTCATTAATTTTATTTAATAATTTTATAGGTTTATTTCCTTATATTTTTACGAGAACAAGTCATTTAACATTAACTCTTACATTAGCGTTACCTCTTTGATTATGTTTTATGCTTTATGGATGAATTAATCACACTCAGCATATATTTACTCACTTAGTTCCTCAAGGAACACCAGCAGTTTTAATACCTTTTATAGTATGCATTGAAACTATTAGAAATATTATTCGACCAGGAACATTAGCTGTTCGATTAGCTGCTAATATAATTGCAGGACATCTTCTTCTTACTTTATTAGGTAATACAGGTCCTTCACTTTCATTTATAATTGTTTCTATCCTTTTAATTGGGCAAATTGCTTTATTAGTTCTTGAATCAGCCGTAGCTATTATTCAATCTTATGTATTTGCTGTATTAAGAACTTTATACTCTAGAGAAGTTAATTAATGTCAACACATTCAAACCACCCTTTTCATTTAGTTGATTATAGTCCATGACCTTTAACAGGAGCAATTGGTGCTATAACATCTGTTTCAGGCTTAGTAAAATGATTCCATCAATATGATATTTCTTTATTTCTTTTAGGAAATATTATTACTATTTTAACAGTTTATCAATGATGACGTGATGTATCTCGAGAAAGAACTTTTCAAGGTTTACATACTCTTCCAGTCACATTAGGTTTACGATGAGGAATAATTCTTTTTATTCTTTCTGAAGTTTTATTTTTTGTTTCATTTTTTTGAGCATTTTTCCACAGAAGTTTATCTCCAGCTATTGAATTAGGAGCTTCATGACCACCAGCTGGTATTAAACCTTTTAATCCATTTCAAATTCCACTATTAAATACAGCTATTTTATTATCTTCAGGTGTTACTGTTACATGAGCTCACCATAGATTAATAGAAGGAAACCATTCACAAGCTACCCAAAGTTTATTTTTTACAGTTTTATTAGGAATTTATTTTACTATTTTACAAGCTTATGAATACATCGAAGCTCCATTTACTATTGCAGATTCAGTTTATGGCTCAACTTTTTTTATAGCTACAGGATTTCATCGAATTCATGTATTAATTGGAACTTCTTTTCTTCTAGTATGTTTAATTCGACACTTAAATAATCATTTTTCTAAAAATCACCACTTTGGATTTGAAGCTGCTGCATGATACTGACATTTTGTCGATATTGTTTGATTATTTCTTTATATCTCAATTTATTGATGAGGAGGATAATTAATTATCTATATAGTATAAAAGTATATTTGACTTCCAATCATAAGGCCTACTAATTAGTAGTATAGATAATATTTTCAATTAGTATCATAATATTTATTTTAATTATTATTACAAGAGTTGTAATAGCATTAGCTTCTATTTTATCAAAAAAATCTTTAACAGACCGAGAAAAATGTTCTCCATTTGAATGCGGTTTTGATCCAAAATCCTCTTCACGTTTACCATTTTCACTACGATTTTTTTTAATTACAATTATTTTTTTAATTTTTGATGTAGAAATTGCTTTAATTTTACCAATAATTTTAATTATTTCAATTTCTAATATTTTTATGTGAACAATTACTTCAATTGTTTTTATTATTATTTTAATTATTGGACTATACCATGAATGAAATCAAGGAATATTAAATTGATCAAATTAATTGGGGTTGTAGTTAATTATAACATTTGATTTGCATTCAAAAAGTATTGAATTTCAATCTACCTTATTATTTTCAAGAATATGAAGCGATTTATTGCAATTAGTTTCGACCTAATCTTAGGTTTCTAAAACCCTTATTCTTTATTAATTGAAGCCAAAAAGAGGCTTATCACTGTTAATGATAGAACTGAAAAATTTTTCCAATTAAAGAAGTATGACGTTCAAGAAAAAGCTGCTAACTTTTATCTTTTAATGGTTAAACTCCATTTATACTTCTATTTATATAGTTTAATAAAAACATTACATTTTCATTGTAAAAATAAAATTTTTATATTTTTATAAATTACTAAAAATAATTAACTATATCTAAGAATTAAAATAATTACCCTAACATCTTCAGTGTTATGCTCTAAATTTAAGCTACTTAAATAAAACAATAAAAAAAAACTAAACAAGAAAATAATTCATAAAATAAATAATATAAGATAAATTTTTAAATTATTATTATGTATAAAATATCTATATTGAGAATATTTAACTAAATGATTGTATAAATTTTGACCTCCTAAAAATTCTGATCAACCCTGATCAAAAGACTTAGAAACAACCCCCCCTAAAATTAATGGATAATTAATAATCCCATAAGTAGAAATAAAAGGTATAAATCATATTGAACCAAAAAAATAACTTAGTAAATATCTATTTAAAGATTTATTAAAATAATATAAAGAAACATTAGAAATTAAATAACCAATTAAACCCCCTAAAATACATACAAATAAAGTTAATAATTTTAAATAAGATGGTAAACAAATTATATAAGGAGTTGGAAAAATTAATCAACTTAATATTCTACCTCCAATAATTCTTATAAATAATAAACCTCTTATTCCCCGTAATATAATTCAACCCTCATCTCTTAATATATTTAAAGAACCACAATTTAATTCACCAGTTATTGAATAATAAATTAAACGAAAAGAATAACAAACTGTTAAACCAGTAGAAAAAAAATATAAAAAAAAAGAAAATATATTAATATAACTTAAAGAAACAACTTCTAAAATTAAATCCTTAGAATAAAACCCTGCTAAAAAAGGTATTCCACATAAAGCTAAATTTGCTACATTAAAACAACCTGAAGTTAATGGTATATAAATTCCTAAACCCCCTATTAAACGAATATCTTGAGAATTATTCATATTATGAATAATAGCTCCTGCACATATAAATAATAAAGCCTTAAATAAGGCATGAGTTAATAAATGAAAAAAAGCCAATTTATAAAATCCTATAGACAAAATTCTTATTATTAAACCTAATTGACTTAAAGTTGATAAAGCAATAATTTTTTTTAAATCAAATTCAAAATTAGCACCTAATCCAGCTATAAATATTGTTAAACCAGAAATTAACAACAAAAACTGACCTATTCAACTTTCTCTTAATAAAATATTAAATCGAATTAATAAATAAACTCCAGCTGTAACTAGAGTTGAAGAATGAACCAAAGCAGAAACTGGGGTAGGAGCTGCTATAGCCGCAGGTAACCAAGAAGAAAAAGGAATTTGTGCTCTTTTAGTTATAGCTGCTAATATAATTAAACCCCCAATAATTTGTATTTCAATTATATTTTTTATTGATTCTAAATAAAAAATATAATTTCATCTCCCATAATTTAATATTCAAGCAATTGCTAATAAAAAAGCGACATCTCCAATTCGATTTGATAAAACAGTTAATATCCCAGCATTAAAAGATTTTACATTTTGAAAATAAATTACTAAACAATAAGAAACTAATCCTAAACCATCTCACCCTAATAAAATTCTAATTAAATTAGGACTAATAATTAATAATATCATTGATAAAACAAATATAAGAACTAACATAATAAAACGATTAATATTGATATCTCCTATTATATATTCTTTTCTATAATAAATAACTAAAGAAGAAATCAATAAAACAAAAGATATAAATAATAAACTCATTCAATCAAACAAAAATGTTATAACAATTCTAGAAGAATTTAATCTAACTACTTCTCATTCTAAAAATACACAATATTCATTTAATATAAAATTTAAACTTAATAAAAATGTAAAAAATCTAATTCTAACAAGAACTAAAAATCTAATTCTACAAATTGATAAATAATTTTTCACGATCTAAGATGAATAAAGTTCATATCATTGACACCACAAATCAATATTTTTAATAAACTACTTAAATTTAATTTTAAATTCAAAATAAACAAACTTCTCTTTTCAAAATTAATAAATTTAAAGGAAATCAATGAAGAAATAATAAAAAATACTCTCGAATATTTCCCCCACTAAATGAATAAACACCTGAAAAAATTTTTCCATGTTGTCTATAAGCATATAAATATAAAGTATAAGCAGCTCTAAAAAAAGAAAGAAAAGATAAAGAAATTATAGTTAATCAAGATCATCTAACAATTCTATTTAATAAAGAAATTTCTCCTAATAAATTTAATGATGGAGGTGCTGCTATATTACAAACACTTAACAAAAACCACCACAATGTTATAGAAGGTATAAAATTTAATAACCCCTTATTAATTAATAAACTCCGACTTCCTAATCGCTCATAAGTAATATTAGCTAAACAAAATAAACCAGAAGAACATAATCCATGACCAATTATTAAAGTATAAGAACCACTTAAACCTCAATATCTTAATGTCATTAATCCACCTAATACAATTCCTATATGAGCTACAGAAGAATAAGCAATTAATGCCTTTAAATCAGTTTGACGCAAACAAACTAAACTAATTAAAACACCCCCAATTAATCTAATTCTCACTCAAATATAATTATATTTTAATCCAATCAATTGCAAAAATCTAAAAACTCGTAATAATCCATATCCTCCTAATTTCAACATAATTCCAGCTAAAATTATTGACCCAGATACAGGAGCTTCTACATGAGCTTTTGGTAATCATAAATGAACTAAGAATATAGGTATTTTAACTAAAAAAGCTAAAATTATTGCTAAGTATAACAAATTATAATTAAATATATAATTTGATAACAAATAAAAATTTATTGTATTACAATTTTTATATAAATAAAAAATACCTACTAATAAAGGTAAAGAAACTAATAAAGTATAAAATAATAAATAAACTCCAGCTTGTAATCGCTCAGGTTGATATCCTCACCCTAAAATTAAAAATAATGTAGGAATTAATCTTCTTTCAAAAAATAAATAAAATATAAATAAATTTATTCTTCTAAATGTTAAAACTAAAAAAATTAAAAGTATTAAAACATTAAATAAAAACAAATTCTTATAGTTATTATATTTATTAACAGATTCTCTAGCAACAATTATTAATGAACAAATTCAAAATCTTAATAAAATTAATCCATAAGATAAAACATCAAATCCTATAAAATAAGAAATATTAACAAAATAATTTAAGCAAAAATTTATTAAAATTAAAACAAATGTAATAACAAATAATAAATTATGAACCATTCAAAATAAACCTTGTATAAAACAAATAGGACTAATAAAAATTATTATTAAAATTAATTTTAACATTATAAAACATTAAACGATTGAAAATAATCATTTCCATGTGTTCGAATTATTGAAACTAAAATAGAAAGTCCTAAAGCACCTTCACATACTCTAAATGTTAAAAATATTATGCTAAAAAATCTTAAATATTCTATTAAATTTAAATAAATATATAATAAAAAAAAAAGATTTAAAACAATATATTCTAAACTTAACAATATTGATAATAAATGCTTTCGATTAGAAACAAAAACAAATACCCCTATTAAAAATAAAAAACAAGGTAATCTTCAATAAAATATTATTAACATTAGTTTTAATAGTTTAATAAAAACATTGGTCTTGTAAACCAAAAATAAGATTTTATCTTTTAAAACTTCAAGAGAAAAGAAATTACTTTATCATTAATCCCCAAAATTAATATTTTAATTAAACTACCTCCTGAAATTATACAACTAATACTTTATGCATCAACATTAATTACAAGATTTATTTTTATTCAAATAAATCATCCTTTAGCTATAGGATTAATATTATTAATTCAAACAATTCAAATCTGCATACTTACAGGTTTAATAGCTAAAAGATTTTGATTTTCTTATATTCTATTTTTAATTTTTCTAGGGGGAATATTAGTATTGTTTATTTATGTTACATCTTTGGCATCTAATGAAATATTTTCTTTATCTATAAAATTAACAACTATCTCTTTATTTATTTTTTCAATAATTTTAATTATTAATATTTTATTAGATAAATCAAGTATTTCTTTTTTTATTCAAAATAATGAAATACAATCAATTTATAATCTAAACATATTTTTACAAGAAAATTCTTTAAATCTTCAAAAACTTTATAATTATCCAACAAATTTAATAACAATTTTATTAATAAACTATTTATTAATTACATTAATTGCTGTAGTAAAAATTACTAAATTATTTTATGGTCCCCTTCGCCCTATAAACTAATGAACAAACCTTTACGAACCCAACACCCATTATTTAAAATTGCAAATAATGCTTTAGTAGATTTACCTGCACCTATTAATATTTCAGCTTGATGAAATTTTGGATCATTATTAGGATTATGTTTAATTATTCAAATTTTAACCGGACTATTCCTTGCTATACATTACACAGCAGATATTAATTTAGCTTTTAATAGAGTTAATCATATTTGTCGAGACGTAAATTATGGATGATTATTACGTACTATACATGCTAATGGTGCATCATTTTTTTTTATTTGTATTTACTTACATGTAGGACGAGGAATTTACTACGGCTCTTATTTATTTACACCAACATGATTAATTGGAGTATTAATTTTATTTTTAGTAATAGCAACAGCCTTTATAGGTTATGTTCTTCCATGAGGACAAATATCATTTTGAGGAGCAACAGTTATTACTAATTTATTATCAGCTATCCCATACTTAGGAATTGATTTAGTTCAATGAGTTTGAGGAGGATTCGCAGTTGATAACGCAACACTAACTCGATTTTTTACATTTCATTTTATTTTACCATTTATTGTATTAGCAATAACTTTAATTCATTTATTATTTTTACACCAAACTGGATCAAATAACCCAATTGGTTTAAATTCAAATATTGATAAAATTCCATTTCATCCTTATTTTACATTCAAAGATATTGTAGGATTTATTATTATAATTATAGCACTTATTCTATTAACTTTAATTAACCCTTATTTACTAGGAGACCCAGATAATTTTATTCCAGCAAATCCTTTAATTACCCCAGTACATATTCAACCCGAATGATATTTTTTATTTGCTTATGCTATTTTACGATCAATTCCTAATAAACTAGGAGGAGTAATTGCTCTTGTTTTATCAATTGCTATTTTAGCAATTTTACCATTTTATAATTTAAGAAAATTCCGAGGAATTCAATTTTATCCTATTAATAAAATTTTATTTTGAATTATAGTAGTAACCGTTATTTTATTAACATGAATTGGAGCACGACCAGTTGAAGAACCTTATGTTTTAACAGGTCAAATTTTAACAGTAATTTATTTTTTATACTATATCATCAACCCACTTATTAATAAATGATGAGATAACTTAATTAACTAGTCAATGAGCTTGAATAAGCATATGTTTTGAAAACATAAGATAGAAATAAAAATTTCTATTGACTTTACTAAAATTAATTAACCACATATAACTAATAATGAATAATTTAAAACCAATAAAAAATAATAAATAATTTAATGAAAAAGGTAAAAAACTTTTTCATGCCAAATATATTAATTTATCATAACGAAAACGAGGTAAAGTTCCTCGGACTCAAATAAAAACAAATGAAATAAAAGTCAATTTTAAATAAAATATTAAACTAAATAAATCACAGCCTAAAAAAATTACAGAAAATAATATACTTATAAATAAAATTCTTGCATATTCAGCTATAAAAATTAAAGCAAATCCTCCTCTTCTATACTCAATATTAAACCCTGACACTAATTCAGATTCCCCTTCTGCAAAATCAAAAGGTGTTCGATTAGTTTCAGCTAAACAAATACAAAACCAAACTAAACTAATAGGAAATAAAAAAATTAAAAATCAAATATAACTTTGATAATAATAAAAATCTAAAATATTATATCTTCCAATTAAAAAAACAAAAGATAATAAAATTAAAGCTATTCTAACTTCATAAGAAATAGTTTGTGCAACAGCTCGTAAACCCCCTAATAAAGCATAATTTGAATTAGAAGATCACCCCGCAATTATTACTGTATAAACCCCAAGACTTGTACAACATAAAAAAAATAAAATTCCCAAATTAAAAGAAAATAATTTAATAAATAAAGGAATACATAACCAAGCAATTAAAGAAATGAATAAAGAAAAAATAGGTGAAAAATAATAAGAAATATAATTTGACAAAAGAGGATAAGTTTGTTCCTTAGTAAATAACTTGATTGCATCACAAAAAGGCTGAGGAATTCCTATTAAACCTACTTTATTAGGCCCTTTACGAATTTGAATATAACCTAATACCTTTCGTTCCAAAAGTGTTAAAAAAGCTACTCTTACCAAAACACAAATTACTAAAATTAATCTTCCTACTAAAGATAAAATAAATTCAATTAAAAACAAGTACTATTTGTAATTTAAATTACATAAATAAAGTCTAAATTTATTGCACTAATCTGCCAAAATAGTAATAAAATTATTTATATTCTTTTTTAAAATTTTATAATTTTAATATTTGGTCCTTTCGTACTAAAATATTATAATTTATTAAAGATAGAAACCAACCTGGCTTACGCCGGTCTGAACTCAGATCATGTAAGAATTTAAAAGTCGAACAGACTTTATGTTTAAGCGGCTACACCTAAATATGTATCTTAATCCAACATCGAGGTCGCAAACTTTTTTGTCGATATGAACTCTCAAAAAAAATTACGCTGTTATCCCTAAAGTAACTTAATCTTATAATCACTAATAATGGATCAATTATTCATAAATTAATGATTTAATAAATAATTAAAAGTTCATTAAATTTTAACATCACCCCAACAAAATATTTACAATTATAAAAATAAAATTAATCCAAAAAACTTGAATAATTATAAATATAAAGATTTATAGGGTCTTCTCGTCTTTTAATAAAATTTTAGCTTTTTAACTAAAATATAAAATTCTAAAATAATTTTATATGAAACAGCTTATACTTCGTCCAACCGTTCATACCAGCCTTCAATTAAAAGACTAATGATTATGCTACCTTTGCACAGTTAGGATACTGCGGCCATTTAAAAATTATTCAGTGGGCAGGTCAGACTTTAAAAATAACTCAAAAAGACATGTTTTTGTTAAACAGGCGAGTAATATATTTGCCGAGTTCTTTATATAAACTTATCAAATAAATTTATTTTAACATTTAAATTTATACTAATTTTATCATTATTACTTTTTATATAACATTTATAAAAAAATTTTTATAAAAAATTAAAATATAATAAATAATATTATTTTAAAAATAATTTATAACAAAATTATTAATGATTACTAATTCTAAGCATACATTTTTATAAAATTTTTATTAATTTTTAAAAATTTATTTTAAAGCTTATCCCTTAAAATATTCAATTTTATAAATTTTTTTATTAAATAAATAACAAAAAAATTAAAAAATTGTAAATTAAATTTATTTCTAAAAAAACTAGATACCTTTATAAACGAATAACATTTCATTTCTAATAATTTATTTAAAATAATTTTAACACATTAACTTTAATAAATTATTAACTCTTACAAAATCGAGATTAATAAATAATTATTAATTATTTGATAAACCCTGATACACAAGGTACAATAAATAAAATTTTCTTTTTAAATAAAAATTTTTCAAAATATTTCAATTATCTTTCACAATACTTAATACACTATTATTAAATTTATTTTTTCATTAAAAATTACTAAAACAAAAAATCTTGTAATTATTTTTAATATAATTAAAATTAACAAAAAAAAAAATAATAAATAAATAATAAATCAATTTATATTGATTTGCACAAAAATCTTTTCAATGTAAATGAAATGCTTTACTTAATAAGCTTTAAATTGTCATTCTAGATACACCTTCCGGTACATCTACTATGTTACGACTTATCTTACCTTAATAGTAAGAGTGACGGGCGATGTGTGCATATTTTAGAGCTAAAATCAAAACTATAATCTTTTAATTTTTACTATCAAATCCACCTTCATTAAAATATTTAAAAATTAAATCCGTTTAAATAAATTTATTGTAACCCATCTCTTCTTAAATATAAGCTACACCTTGATCTGATATAAATTATAAACTAAATTATTGAAAATTATTATTCTAATAAAATATTCTGATAACGACGGTATATAAACTGAAAAACAAATTTAAGTGAGGTACATCGTGGATTATCAATTATAGGACAGGTTCCTCTGAATAGACTAAAATACCGCCAAATTTTTTAAGTTTCAAGAACATAACTAATACTACCTAAGTGCTTATTTTTACATTTTAAATAATAGGGTATCTAATCCTAGTTTTTAATTAAAATTTACAAGCTTCACTAATTCAATTATAAAAATTAATAAATTTAAAATTTCACCTAATAAATTTATATCTATTTTATTTTAATAAAAATTAACTTTCACTGAACAAATTTTATTTGTATTATTTGTATAACCGCGGATGCTGGCACAAATTTAACCAATACTTAATAAAATTACTATTTCCAAATTTCTTTGATTAATAAAACTAATTACTGAGATTATTGATAATTTATTCATTATTAAAATAAATAAAAATTCACACAAAAATTTACATATAAAATATATTAACAACAAAATTATAAGCCAAAATAAAACTTTAATAAATAAAAATAAAAAAAAAATTAAAAATTATATTTTTGATTTATTAACATTAAAATAACAAAATTTAATTTTTTTTTTAAAAAAAATTAAAAATTATGTATATAAAAAATTTAGGTATCTCCTTCCCGCATGAATAATCAACCCCTAATTAATTATTCTTTTTCATTTAATAATTATATAGAAAAATTACTTTTTATAAATAAAAAATTTTTTTTTTCTTTTATTATTAAATTTATAATTTATAAAATTTATTAAAAATTTTATAAATTTTAATTTAAATAATTTATTTTTATTATAATAAATTTAAATAAATTATTTTATTTAAATAATAAAAATTAATACTTAAATTAAATTTATAGATAATTATTGTATTTATTTATATATGTATAATTTTTAATTTTTTTTTTTTTTTTTTTTTATTTATTAAATATTAAAAATAATTTTTATAAAAAATTTATTTTTTATAATATAATATTTTATAATTTTAAATAAAAAATCTATTAGATATTTATTCTTATATAATATATTTTTAAAAATTTTCAATAATATATTTAATATAATATAACGATATACCAAATAAGATTAATAAATATCTATATATATATAAATATTTAATTAATTAATAGATTTTTATATATTATGTCAAAAAAACCCTAAAATTCTGAAATAAATAACAATTTGTTAAATCATCTAATAACATCTAAAATAATATAACGTTCGACATTTATATAAATAAATAATAAAAATAACTATTTGTTAATCATCTATCTATTTATATAAAAGTTGAGTTTTTAACTCTCGGAAATGTCTATATTGGCATTTTTAATTATCTAATATTTATTTTTATATACTTATAAAAAATACTATTTTAAATTATTAAAATTTAATATAATTTTTATTTTTATTTTTATTTTTTTAACATTAAATTAATAATAAAGAAAAAAAAAAAAAAAAAAAAAGATGGAAAATTACTTTTTATAAATCAAATAAGTTTTTTTCATTC